GTTTTTGAGACAAATGTGAAGTTTTCATGAGAGAAAGATGTTGGTTTGCTCCACCAGCACAAGGAGGCCATCGTCCCGTACCTGCTGAGCCTGCTGAAGGGATTACCCAGGGTGCAGTGGATTGAAGAGAGCTCAGAAAGGAAAGGACGAGGTATGTTCAGATCTCCTGATCTCTCTTCTTTAGTTCTCGGAGGTTCTTGCTCTTACTTGTCTCTGTGTCTGCAGAGACACTCCCCATTGCTGAGAACTTCTCCTTCTGCCTGGTCACCATGCTCTCAGACGTTGCACAGAGGGATGAATCCATGCGGGTCCAGGTGTGTTGCAGGAAGTTCGTTTGAAGTGCATCAGTGTATGTAGGGATGGGCGATATGGTTTAAAATCCATATTGTGATATACATTGCAGCCTCTTGCGATAACTTTATATATTGTGATATATAAATTATAATAGAACCATTTCAGAACAGGTTACAAAGACACAAAGACTAATTTTTTTAAAGAAATAAAGTCGTTTTGAGAACATTTATTGTGCAAATGCAAAACTGTAATTAAACAACACAATGTTGCAGATAAATAAACGATATGCTGTGTCTTTTTAGTTAAAGAACTTACACTGTACTGAAAATACTTCCAGTATTAATTAGTCAAATAAATTTGTGTAATGCACAGATACTTTATATACAAACATATTTCAAACCAGCAGCCTAAGGTAACGCATTTGGTTTTAAACATTTTGTTCTAATGAAATGATTATAACTACATATTAAAAATAATTTATATAATACCAAATGGGTTTATATTAGGGGTGTAACGGTACGCTAAAATCGTATTCGGTTCGGTACAGTGTCTTGGAGAGTTCGGTTCGGTTCATTTTCGGTACAAAAGAATAAGAACTTACATAATCTTTATTTTGAAAAGCTGCCAATACACAATAGAATTCTTGCATAAAATAAATAAAAGTGACACATTTGGGTGATATTTTAAATAAATTGCACTCTTCATTAAGAAAAACACTTTTTTTTTTTAAATAAAAAATGAAATACTGCAACTAGTTAGGATAGATTACCTATCCACATTTTCTGAAGAGAGCATAGATCTGGTTATAATATCTCCAGCAGTAGAAAATGTTAGATGTGTTGCCTGCCCGATCTCCGTGGAACAATGTCGGCATACAACTTTACATTTATCCACTCGTCTATCCCCGTTATGTATTTTAACAGAGAAGCCAAAGTGTTCCCAAACAGGAGACCGCAGTGAGGTGAGAGGGTCTTCAAGCTCTGGCTTCTCTTTCGCTTTTGATAT